TTCTTGCAGACCAACAAGGGCAAGCCGCCCGCGCGCACCGCCTTCCGAGAGCGGGTGCGGAACTTCCTAGAGTGGGCCAACCAGGGGACTTTGGCGGAGATCTCCACTCAGCGCCTGCCAGCTGGCTGCCGGCTACATGGACGTCATGTTCTTCGACGGGATGGGGGTCGGCGCGGGCTCGAGGCTGCTGGCGGCCCTGCAGTGCCTGCGACCCAGCTTGGGGACGGCTCGCCGCGGCAACTTTCCTTTGGCTCGGGCAGCTGTGGCGGGTATCCGCCGCCGTGCCCGAGGAGGAACTCGAGGCCCTCTGTGCCGGCCTTGGGTGCTGGCGGTGGTCGGGGTCAGCCTGCTGCTGGAGGGCCTGGAGTTCGCGACGGCGCTGTGGCTGGCCTGGGACGGCATGCTGCGCTTGCCGTCCGACCTGGTGAGCATGGCGCCCAAGGCCTTGATCGGGCCTGGCAGGGCGGGGAAGCCCACGCGGGCCCTTCTCCTCTACCCCAGCGAGGAGGAGGCGAGGGGCAAGGTCATGAGGAGGCGAGGGGCAAGGTCATGGGCGCCGACGAAGGCGTGATCTTGCGCGAGGCCTGCTGGGGCGGCGGCGGCAGCGCGGCCCTGCGGCGCCTCCGAGGGGCTCGGGGCCCCAGCTGCCAGCTCTGGTCGTTCGCCGGGGCTTGGTTCACCAGGCGGTTCGAGGAGCGGCTGGCCGCGCTGCCCGAGGCGCCCGCGGCGGTCGCCTACCAGGTGCGCCACGGGGCCGCGAGTCACGCGGCGGCCGCGGACCAACTCCGACTCCGCGGGATCACCGAGCGGCTGCGGCACGGCAGCCCGCACAGCAGCTTGCGCTACGCCAAGCGCGTCCGCTACCTCTCCCTGCTGAACAGGGTGCCGCAGGCTTTGGTCGACTGGAGCGAGACGATCCACGCGCGGCTGGGCAGCCTGCTCGGCGGGGGCGACGTCTTGCAGGCTCCCGCCTTTCTGCCGCAGAGTGTGCTCGGGGCCTTGCACGCCAGCTGCGCCAAGGCCTCAAATTCGGGTGTGAACAAAAGAGTCAAATTTTCCTCGAAGTTGGGTTCTCGAAAGGTGAAGTGAGCCGATGCCTTTGAGTCCAGTGAGCACGGTGCAGTGTGGGTCAACGCCTCCATGTGTGATCTCTCGGTCGTCCGAAAGATGCGCTCATTGGGTGGGTCGGTTCTTGTGCCGTTCGCGGCTTTGTTGTGACGCTTCCCGACTTGAGTGCTGATCACACGGGGGACCGTCGTTGCCAGCTCCGTGCAACTATTGTCCAGTGCATCCACGACCTGCTTAAGATTGCTAATGCTGCCTTTTCCGCTGGGTGTCCAGCGATTGTAATCAGTCCCTGCAAGGAGCAACTAGAGTCTGTCCAGGATTCTTCTGTTTTTTGGAGTCGGGCCCGCGGCGTCTGGACCTCCAGAGTGTTCCCCTGTGCTTTTTCGGCGTCGGGTCGCCGCGGTCCGCTCGATATTTTAACGGCCTCGGGTGGGCCTTTTGTTAGTAGTGATTTCCTCTTCGGGGCTTCGCTGGCCTCTCGTCTCAGCTTGCACTTAAAGGGTGCCGCCGGCAGAAATCAGATTGACAATTTAACCCGCCTGGTGTGTTGACGCGGGCCAGGGGCCAATTCGGGCTGATTCGGGGACGATCGGTTCCGCCGTTTGCGAAGTCAACCGCTGCGCCGTCCGAGAGATGCGATCTGGATGTGAAGAACAGAGAATCGCGTTGTCTGGCCGCGCCTGGGGAGGGGTCGGGCTGAGCTTGTTCTTGAATCGCTGTTGCCCGTCTGTCCTTCCGCGGCCCTTCTTGGGCTCCGACCAAACTCGCTCAAGCTCCCCCCGTTCCCTCCCCGCTTGGCGTGGCCTCCGCCGCAATTTCAATTCAAAGGGGGGGCGATCGGTTTCGCCGTTTGTGAAGTCAACCGCTGCGCCGTCCGAGAGATACGATCTGGGTGTAAAGAACCGAGAATAGTGTTGTTTGGCCGCGCCTGGGGAGGGGTCGGGCTGATGATGATGATGCTGGTGGTGATGATGATGATGCTGATGAGGTGCTGATGATGGTTTTGATGATGGTGGCCTGGTGCTGATGATGCGGATGGCGATGATGATGATGATGGTGTCCCAGTGATGAAGTTAATGATGTTGTTCATGATGGCGATGTTGAGATGATGATGAGGATGATGATGATGATGCTGGTGGTGATGGTGATGATGATGGCGAGGGTGATGATGGTGTCCCGGTGGTGATGGTGATGATGATGTTGATGTTGGTGATGACGATGTTGATGATGATGGTGCCCCAATGATGATGATGATAATGATGATGATGATGATGATGATGGTTTTGTTCATGGTGGCGATGGCGGGGTGATGATGCTGGTGTTCCGATGATGATGATGACCATGGTGTCCTTGTGATGATGATGTTGGTGATGATGATGGTGGTGATGATGTTGTCCCGATGGTGATGATGATGGTAATGATGGTGGTGATGTTGTTGATCATGGTCATGATGTGATGATGATGATGACGGTGGTGTCCTGATGAGGATGACATGATGATGATGATGATGATGATGATGATGATGATGATGGTGACGTTGATGACGATGATGTTGATGATGATATGACGTTGACTGCGAGAATGATCGTGCTAGCGATAGTGATATCGATCGTGGGACCGAGTGTGGGATCGATTGTGATATTGATATTGAGATCGATAGTGAGATCGATTGTGAGATCGGTAGTCACATCGGTTTTTAGATCGAACGAATGACATAGATCGAGTGATATCGATTGTGAGATCGATCGAGTGAGATCGATCGAACGAGAGCGACAGTGATATCGATAGTGATATCGATAGTGATACCGATCGGGTGAGACGTTGGTTCCTCCCCACCGAACCTCCTTACCACCCGAAGGGTGGTCGTATAGGTATATGTGTGTGCGTAAACGTTTTGCTCTCATGCGCAGTTTGCTGAATTACCCGAGCAGCGCAGTGCAGTTCGCAGACTATCCTGCCAGGAGAGTCTGGGAGACTCCGACGGTGGTTTTCGGCCGCCCCGCCGAGCACACCAGGGAAAGGGAGCTACCCCTCGTGGTGGTGCCCTTCCTCTCTGGTGCTATTGGGGCGCAGTGGTGGGAGCCCCCATTCGCTCGCAGGCTTAGTCTCCCACGAGCACGAGTGGCAGGTACGACGGGCACATCGTCCTGCAGTGTGGCGCCCACGTCTTTTAGTGTTTCGTCCACGTCCCCGCGTGTTCCCTTTTCCCCCTTACCTTCCCTGCCTTTCTGCCCAATGCGCTTCGGACGCGCCCCGCCGCTAGCTCGACCGCCTGCTGGACCCAGTTCGCCGCTGACTATCAGTGTTTTCCACGGCCCGCGGTAGACCTGGCTCGCGTCAGGACTGGCACAGGATTTTCACCGCGACCTTCCTCTATTCACGCCCCAGGGTCCCGCTCCTAAACCCGGGCGCAGGCCAGGCGCGCAGGCACAAGGCCGCATGTCACATTGAGTGAGCCCGGCAACCTGGCTCAGCCTGGTCATCCCGTCCCTCCTCTTCGGACGATGACTTCGCTTGCGGATGACCAGCCTCGTCGCTCCCCAGGGTCTCTCATTCGAGCGCCCGGGATCAGGCCTGATGTGAGTTCCTCGCCACCAGCCATTTTTGCATCTGGCGCGCTGCCACCCGTTGGAAGACAGCGAACCCACAGAAGGGGGGTAGAAACCAATCTCCGTGCAGGCTGCGCTTCCTCGGGGCAGTGACGGATCGGCTGTCCCCATTTCACTTCTCAACTATCTCCTTTCTCCCCCCTTCGACAACTAAGTATCGCAGTTTTCAGCTGGTCCCAGGGTTGCTTTTTACTACGCCGTCGCACTCGCTCGCTTAGGACCTCTGGGCGCGTTCATTGAGTACTGGCCCTTCTTGCGCTACTGATGGCATGCACCCTCACACAGTCTTCACTGCAGTCAAGACCGCTTCCTGCTCTCTCTCCTCTCTCTCTCCTTCTTCCCTCTTCATCCTTCTCCCCCTCCTTCCTTCCATCCTCCCTCCTCCTTTCCTCGTCCCTGGCCCCTTCTCGCTCCTCGCTCTTTTTGAGCCGTCCCCCATGCTCCCCCTTCTGTTTCGTTTGCTGCTGCTCTCCATTTGGCGACGAGATCTAGGTGTACATATCCAACGCCCCTGGTCAGACCCATCCGATCGGTGCACATGCCTCCCTGGCCAAGCCGGGGGGGCGGACAGGCCCAGGATCCTTGACCCGTTTCCATCCCCTTTTTGGCTGTGTTGCTGCCTGCTTCTCCTGCTCCTGAGCGGCGGGTGTGCGAGCGAGGGGTCGCTGGGTCAGGATTCATCTCCTGGCAGCTTGAATTCAGCATCGGCGCTGTGCTATCCGTGGGCAACAATTTGCTTCATCCGGCATTTGTGAGCCGGCGTAATCCTGCTAAATTCTGCTTAATTGCGGGCTTGATTTGGCCAAACCTGGCTTGATGCCCTGTTTCCTGCATGGCTTGAATATCTTTGATCGTTCTTGCGAAGATCTCCCAGGAGTTCCTCCAGAAGGTCAGTATCGTTTCGCCCGACCCCATTCTCATTTGGTCATGGCATGGTAGCTCAGCCCCACCATCCCACCGCCCCAGTTGGGGATAGGCCCTGGAAACCCGAAGGAGACCGCCTGCATCCCGATCTACGTGGGCTAAATAGGCCAGTGGGGCCCAGGCTACGCCAGTGGGGATAGGAATCGTTTAGACTCGGCGATGCGCCCGGGGTAAGTGAGAGGGAGCAGGCATTCGCAGAAGGCGGCGGGGCTTCCAAGGAGCGCTCGCACCTTCTGAGAAATTTTCCGTGTCCTCGGGGAAGACATCGAACACTTCTCAGAGGACCCGATGCCGTTCGAGCCTTCTGAGAAGGCCCGCCCCTTCTCACTTCCCCCCCAGGTCGCCGCCGATGGACGATGCTCAGAGCTGCTTCCCGAGGGCGGGCGCGGGTCTCCGCAGGCGCTGAAGGAGAAGGTCTGCTCCGTGGCGCTGGACGGCAGGGCGGCATCAAAGGCCCGCCGCGCACCAGCCGGGCGCCGAGCTCGCCGGCCGCCCGGGGCTCGCGGCGCGCCTTCTGCGGCGCCGCTCCACCTCAGAGGAGGAGAACGTGCAGTTGGCAGGAGGTCCAAGGACAGGCTCAGCTTTCAGCATGGGGGGCCCTCGTGTTCTTCGTGGTTGGGCTCTGCACCTAGGAAGGACTTTCGGTTGGGGTATCTCCACGGGGCAGTGGGCATCCAGCGAAGAGGCTCCTGTTCTTCACCCACGTTCTTGTGGCCACGTCTCGACTGTACCGCTACCGCTACCCTTCCTCGTTCCCCCCTCTTGGGCCTCCTGGGATGCCCTCGTCGCCACGGCCAGATTCACCTCGATGTCCTGGTCGCTTCCCCTCCGCCGGCTCTCGGCTGTCTCTGCCGCCTGGCGAGGGAGAGCGAGAGAGAGAGAGAGAGGTCGCAACAATTCGGCTGGCCGATGTCCGTCTGGCGCGAGGGCTTCAAGTACCCGCCGCGCCAACCTCATGCGGGGGGAGGTGCCGCGTGTGCGATCAGGGGCGGGGAGACTACCCCCCCTGAGGCGGTCTGTGGGGACCCCGACTGGAACGCAGAGGCGGAATGTGGCGACAAGGACGAGGCTCGCCCCTTCTGCACACCCGCATACAGAGGGAAGCCGGCTAGGAGAGCGACATGAAAAAACGCCGAAGTAGACATGTGCGTCGATCAAGTGTTCCTTTTCCAGAAGAGAGCGATCAATCTATCAACATCTTCCGAATGTGATGCAGCGCGCCACCACAGCCACCAGAATCGCCAATGACCTGAACCATCAAAACGCCATCGTCCACCTGCAGGGCCACCGGCCGGAAGACTCCCAAGGCTAGGAGAGCGACATATAGAGAGAGAGAGAGAGAGAGAGAGAGAGCGAGGGACCGCGAGAGGGCGATAGAGAGCGAGGCCGACGGCGAGGGCAGGAGAGGCGGGGCCCGGGGCCCTGGCGCGCGGCTCCAGTCCCGCTTCTGGTCCCGCCCGATCCAGAGGCCCCGTTGGGCGGGCCTTGGCGCGAGGGTGCGGCGGGCCCCTGGGGTGCCCGAGCGCCCGCCCGCCCTCTCGCGGCGCGAGAGTGCGGCGAGCTGGCCCTGAAGCCTGCGGGGGAGAAGGCGGATGAGGCGGAGGCGGATGAGGCGGAGGCGGAGGCGGAGGCGGCGGAGGAGGAGGAGGAGTATTATTACTACTATTTTACGACTACTACTACTACTACTACTTCTACTACTACTTCTACTACTACGACTACTACTACTACTACTACTACTACTACTACTACTACGACTACTACAGCTACAACTACTACTACTGCTACTGCTACTGCTACTAGCATTATTTTTACTACTACTACTACCACTGCTACTACTACTACTACTACTACTACTGCTGCAATGAATATTAATATTAATAATATTCTGGGCGTTATTCATGAACACCACTGAACTTACGCATGAGACTCGGAATGATACAAATATGCGTAGCACTAATACGAACACTTTTATTCATCTTACTAATGTTCGGATTCGTACTAATATTTGTAATATTGCTAGTGCTAATACTCGAAATCGTATTAGTACTCGTACTGGTAATCGTACAGTAATCGTAATCGCAATCGTAGTCGTAGTGGTAATGGTAATCGTAATGGTTGTAGTCGTAGTCGTCGTAGTAGTAGCAGTAGTAGCAGTAGCAGTAGTAGTAGTAGTAGTAGTAGTAGTAGTAGTAGTAGTAGTAGTAGTAGTAGTAGTAGTAGTAGTAATAGAAGAAGAAGAAGTAGTCGTCGTCGTAGTAGTAGTTGTCCTAGTAATGGTAGTAGTAGTAGTAGTAGTAGTAGTAGTAGTAGTAGTAGTAGTAGTAGTAGTAGTAGTTGTAGTTGTAGTAGTAGTCGTAGTCGTAGTCGTAGTCGTAGTAATAGTAGTAATATTCGTAGTAGTAGTAGTAGTAGTAGTAGTAGTAGTAGTTAGTAGTAGTTAGTAGTAGTAATAGTAGTAGTGGTTGTAGTGGTAGTAGTAGCAGTAGTAGTAGCAGCAGTGGTAGTAGTAGTAATAGTAGTAGTAGTAGTAGTAGTAGTAGTAGTAGTAGTAGTAGTAGGTCGGTAGTAGTAGGTAGTAGTAGTAGTAGTAGTAGTAGTAGTAGTAGTAGTAGTAGTAGTAGTAGTAGTAGTAGTAGTAGTAGTAGTAGTAGTAGAGCAGTCGTAGTAGTAGTAGTAGTAGTAGTAGTAGTAGTAGTAGTAGTAGTAGTAGTCGTAGTTGTTGTAGTAGTAGCCACGAGAGTAGTAGTAG